TAACAGGAAAAAAAAGGCCAATTGATCCCAATAACTTGAGATTAATCAGAACCTGTATACATAAACAAAACAATGACTCGCATAAAAATGAATAGACAAAAGTGTTACCAAACAACAACAAACATTTCATTCCGTCATCCGTCAACTAGTGAGGTTGTGACTTGGAATCGAAGCTATCCATGCAGCATATATTTTATTACATACCTTTAATAAAAAATCCTAACAGTTATAATTTATAAACCCTAAAGTCTCTACGGTTGGAGTATTGAAATTGCATCTTCTCAAGATATAATAATGTGCTTGGTAGTTTTCTACTAATGTGCTTGCCAGTTTTGATTAACATTTACTTTTGTATAAGTTTGTAGTACTAAGTTACTAACTACTATCCTCTTATTGTTTTGTGTGAATTAGATGAACGCAAAGGCGTCGCCTCAAGCTCAAGTTCAAACTCAATGAGATCAATATCAAATAGCCCTCATGATCAAACAAACTCATCTTCGAGTATACCATCGGAAGTAAGTAGTCATATCTTTCTATTACTTTTGCCCTTGTGTTTAATAATTAATTCATTAATTGTAATGAATCTCTTATTTTAGATGGACATTGGTGAATCAACTCCTAGTTCTCTTGGTGGATCCGGAAATCCCGCCGATGCAACTCCAAAAGAAGGTGACCAAAGTGACCAAGTAAGTAAAGAAGAAACTCTTTTGGAATCATTAAAAAGTCATGAAAGGTCTAAAGTTTGGGAGCACTTTGAAAGAAAAATTGAGGGTGGTAGAGTTAAGGGGTTGTGCAAGTATTGCGCTCAATCATATATGGCCGACCCAGATAAAAATGGTACAACTAATTTAAGAAACCATATAGCAAGATGTAGAAGCTACGGTCCTAATAAGGAAATATTTGCCGCAAATAGGCAAAAGATCTTAACCTTTGCCGGCACGAAAGATAAGTTGGAAGCTATAGGTTTTTCTCAACAAGAAGTAACTAAGGCTTGTGTTGAGATGATAATTATAGATGAGTTGCCTTTTACTTTTGTTGAAGGAGAAGGTTTTTGCCGTTTTTGCATGCAAGCATGTCCTATGTGGAGAGTGCCTAGTCGTAAGACAATTGCTAAGGATGTACTTAGCTTGTTTTATGCCGAAAAAAATAAATTGAAGAGTCAATTGAAGACATTTAGGGTGTGTCTAACAACGGACACATGGACTTCTATTCAACAAACCAATTATATGGTTCTCACCGCCCATTTTATTGATGATGATTGGATGTTACATAAAAAGATTTTGAATTTTTGTGTTATTCCAAATCATAAAGGAGAATCCATCGCTCAACTTTTGGAGGAGTGTTTAGTGGAGTGGGGTATAGAGAAGGTGTTAACCATTACGGTTGACAATGCTTCCGCAAATGATTCCGGTTTAAGGGACTTGGTGCACCGAATAAGTGGGTGGGGGATTCCTAATGCACTCTTGCATGATGGAAAATATTTACATATGAGGTGTGTTGCTCATATGCTCAATTTGGTTGTGAATGATGGGATAAAATTGTTGAATACGGCTATACAAAGCATTCGTAATGCGGTTAGGTACGTAAGATCTTCCCCTCAAAGGTTGGAAAGCTTTAAAAGGTGTGTTGAGAAAGTGAGAATAGAGAGCAAAGGGCTTGTGATTTTGGATGTCCCTACTAGGTGGAATTCCACATTTTTAATGTTGCAATCGGCTTTAAAGTTCAAGATGGCTTTTGATAGATTAAAAGTAGATGATGGTCATTACCTTCCGTACTTTGTTAAAGACAATCATGATAATATGAGGGAGGGGCCACCTTCGATGGATGATTGGAGTGAGGCGGGGATATTTGCAATCTTTTTGAGACCTTTTTATGAAGTCACTTTAAAAGTATGTTGTTCTAATACTCCAACCGTTCATACTACTTTTGGTGATTTGTTTAAGATCAAAAGTCTCTTGCATGAAAACAAAGATGATCAACTTTTGTCTATGATCTCCAAGTTGATGCAAGAAAAATATGACAAGTATTGGGGTTCACTTAAGGACATGAATCAATATCTTTTTATAGCACTTGTGCTTGATCCTCGTCACAAATTAGATAAAGTTGTTGATTATTTTGAGATACAATTTGGTGAGGATGAAGAAAAGGTTGAAAGTGCCACAAATGGGGTGAAGGACTTATTGATTGATCTTTACAAGATTCATGAAAATATGTCTTTGAGTACACAACAAAGTATAAGTGGTGGTGGTAGTTCTCAAACGACAAGTGGAGACTCTTCATCAAGCATGACCGAAATAGAAAGAAAGTTGAAAGAAAAAAGTGAAATGAGAAAAGCAAAGAGAGCCCGGGTTGTGCATAATGATGTTGACAAGTATCTTTCCGATCCTAATGAAGGAGAAGAAGAGGAGAACTTTGATGTATTGAATTGGTGGAGAGTGAATGGGGTTTCTAAGTACCCTATTTTGGCACGTGTTGCAAGAGATATCTTAGCTATTCCCGTATCAACCATTGCTTCGGAATCCTCCTTTAGTACAAGTGGACGGATAATTGATCCATATCGTAGTTCTTTAAGTCCAAAAATGGTGGAGGCTTTGATATGTACTCAAAATTGGCTTAGGTCCATTCATGTTGCATTACATCATGAGCCAACCATTGAGGAGATAGAGTTTTGTGAAGAAGTTGAGAAAGGTAATTTTATTAATTGCATTTGATTTTGTTAGATTATTTTAAATAATATTTTAATTAATATCTTTTCTTTTATTATTTGTATGTAGAAATGGCAAGTGGAAGTTCAAAAAAAGGCAATATGTTGCCCCCTAAGCCACTTAAGCATTAGCAAGCAAATTATCATTGAAAAAGTTGGTGGATCACTCTCATACCATTAAGGCATAAGAAGAGTTTGGAAGCTTTGAACTTTGATCATTTGATGTTTATTTTAAGTTTGGACTTTTGGAAGCTTTGAACTTTAATGTTTATTTAACTTTGGACTTTGAAACACTTGATTATAATTGAACTTTGAATTGAATGTTTATTTTCATTGTCTTTGACGATTATGTTTGAATGATTATATTAGAAATTTGGATGATTATATTAGAAATTTGAATGATTATTTCATTGTCTTTGAATGATTATATTAGAAATTTTGGAATACTTATTTTGACGATTATGTTGAAATGGGACTTATTACAAAATGGCTGCAAGTTGGTTTCATACAATTGTTTTTAGCTACTTGGAAGAAAGAGAGAAAAAACAAAAAAAAAAAAAAAAAAAAACCGAACCGGGCCGAAACCGAACCGAGAAAAACCGAACCGAACACAAACCGAACCGAACACAAACCGAAATAAAACCGAACCGAACCGAACCGAACAGTAATTTCGGTTCGGTTTCCGGTTTTGGCAAAAAACCGAACCGAACGGAACCGAACCCACCCCTACCACATAGGTGGAATGTCCTTTTAGATGGTAGGTAAAAATGCCTAGTGGAGGTTCACAAGGAGAAGGTCTTGGTGCGGCCACCGTTGGTGGTGGGCCCCCGGTGTTGCGTGAGAGGGGAGTGAGACACATTGATGTTGGGTGAACATGATAAATCACGAACGGTGAGGTAAGGATGATTTTGTGTGAGTGGGTCATATATCCAACCGGTTGGTTCCCATATGGAATAGGAAAGGGATACTCTTCGCATCTCTTCCATCAAGTTCATCAATATCATAAATTCAGGTTTTTAAAATTTGATCCAACAGGTACAAATATGAATTCATTTTAAAAGTTAAAATAACTTTTATCGTTAATTCAAATTTCAAAGGCCTAAATTTGTGGTCTTTGTAGACTTGATGGAAGGGATCCAGAGAGGATCCCGTTCCTATAGAATAATTTCTCGTTCACAAGGCTATTTTGCCAAGTTAAAAGTGGTTAGGCAATCGTCATTCAATACTACGGTCTAATGGTATTCTTCTTCACTTGAAAGTGAGAGATTTTAGATTTGAATCTCGTGGATGACGAATTCGATATCAAATTAGGTTGCCCATTATGCGACTTAACCGAACTTCCTCTTTTTTTAATGTAAAAATATTAATGTACTAAAAAAAAATTGGTTAGGCAATTTGGGGCCTACAAATATTTTTTATTTTTATTTAAGAAAAAAAATAACATATTCCTCGACACACTTTACACTCCACCAATATTTTATTTTATTAAAAGTAAAATATTGCTTGACATACTTTACACTCCTCCAATATTTTATTAAATTAATAATGTTGAGTGTTGGAAAATGCAATCCCACATTGAAAGCATGAAAAAATATATTATTACGACTAATATTAGTGAGACTAAATTTAGAGATTAAACTTGCAACTTCAATGACGTGTTACTAATAGGAATGAGACGTTTATCAACGTTTAAGTAATAAACCAATCATCAACTTCCATGTTTCCAAAATTTAGTCTTTTTAGTATTACTCATATTACTACTCATAAATGAAGAGTAATGCTAAATAAATAAATTTTTTAGATCATATTTACAAACTATATGATGTGTCACCAATACAAAATAAACATGTTAATCAATACTTCAATAATAATTCAATCATCAACGCCCACGTCATATGGTTTAAATAGATGTCTTCTTAACACCGAGATCTTATGTGATAAAATTCAACATCTATCACATTGTTTATGAGTTAAATTAAGACAATATCAACATATATTGCATTGTATATGAGTTAAGTTAAGTTAGCATTCTAAAATCTTAAAATAGACTACTCAAAATACCGCATGAGTTTACGGTTCTGCCTCAAACAATTGTCTAATCCCTTGAAGATGCTCTTTGAAGATGCGAATGTGCAGTGGGACCCAATTTAGTAGGAGGTACCATGCATTTTCCATGGAATCGGTCAGTTAGATTCCTATGTCGAAGTCGTCTTAAACAAGTCTAGTGGTTTGAACATTGACTAACTACTAGGATGCCCAGCAGGAAATCGAAGAAGCATATTTTTTATAACTTAGCTTTGACTTTCTTTCCGACATGTTGCATGCCTTTTACATTCAATTTCTCGGATTTTACTCCAATGATTTAAGGTTATTCTGAAAATGAACGATTGTTATAATAATAAAACACCCGTAAAATTGATGTGGACTACTGAATCTAATACCCCAACTTGTCAAAGATTGAATCTCAATTGCCATCGCCATACTCTTTGCTCTGTGATCTAAGCCGAGGTGCGCTAACAGCTCTTTTGCAATTCACAACTTGACTCTCCTCGCATTCGATTGCTCTCTTGCAGTCAGTTTGTTGCAGCAACCTTGTTTCTGCTTCAATCACTTCTAGTTTTCATATCAAAAAATCCAAAAGCAAGACATACACTAAGAAGAAGAACAAATGAAAAGAAACATCTATTGCGAAAGAATATGAACAACAACCAGCTTCATGCATAACCAACAGAGATAAGGTATGTCATGCAACCAACTGCCTTGATTTCATTTCTTCTGTTACTTTTTATTGCGAAAGAGAAGTCTACCTGTTTATAATTTGGTTTGTATTCAACAGACGTTTATAAAACCAGTACCAGAAGCAAACGGTGAAAATAGGAACCAGATAAATTAGTCTGCTGACAGAAGCATGGAGTTTCTTTTGGCAGCTGTTTCTGGGATTGTCGGGAAAGTATTGGAGCTCACAGTTCAACCAGTTGGACGGCAAGCGGGCTATATATTTCACCACAAAATAAACCTTAAAAATCTGGAGAGTCAGTTGGACAACCTAGGTGCTTCCAGAAACCGGGTGCAGCATACAGTCAATGAAGTTAAAAGGAAGGGTAGGAATGTGGATATTGACGTCGAGAAGTGGCTGACAAGAGTGGACGAAATTACTGGAGAGGCAAAAGAATTGTTGAAAGATGAACAACAAGCAAAGGCAAGGTGTCTCCATGGATGGTGCCCTAATCTGTTTCTCCGTTATCAGCTAAGCAAGAAATCGAAAAAAATGGTGAAGGGGGTTCTCCAACTCCATGCAAATAAAGAATTTCCCAGATTTTCTTTCAAGGCTCCCCCTCAGGAGATATGGAGCATACCCACCGAAGAGTACGAGGCCTTTGAATCAAGGGCCTCTACCGTGAAGAAAATCATGGAGGAACTGAGGAATCCTAATACCAACATGATTGGGGTGTATGGGATTGGTGGCGTGGGGAAGACCACACTCATCAAAGAAGTTTTCAGGCAGGCTACTAAAGAGGAGTTATTTGATGATGTGGTTCTTGTACTAGATGTCAAACAGAATCCAGACCTGGAAAGAATTCAGAAAGAAATTGCCGAGAAGCTTGGTCTTGATGTTCTTGAAAATCAGACCATAGCTGGAAGAGCGCGAATTCTATGCGACAGGTTAAGAGACACGGAGATTCTTGTGATTTTAGATGATGTCTGGGAAAGAATTGATCTGGAGGCTTTGGGACTTCCCCGGAGGGTATGCAAAATATTGTTGACATGTAGAAGTCGAGAAATACTATCCTCTGAGATGCGTACGCAAAAGGAGTTCGGGCTTCATGTTTTAGGCGAAGAAGAAACTTGGAGCTTATTTGAAAAGATGGCAGGTGATGCTGTTAAAGATCCCGCTATAAGAACTGTGGCAACTGAAGTTGCCCAAAAATGTGGAGGTTTGCCAGTTTTAGTTGTCACAGTTGCAAGCGCTTTGAGAAATAGAAGGACTTTACATGCATGGAAAGATGCCTTAAGACGCTTAAAAAGGTTTGGCAAGGAAGAATTGACAGAAAAAGTATACTCGGCTCTAGGGTGGAGTTACGATCAATTGGGTGATGAGGAGCTCAAGCCTTTGTTCTTACTCTGTGGAATTACTGGGAGAAACTATATTTTTCTTGGAGACTTGCTGAAATATGCTATTGGTTTGGGGTTGTTTAAGAACATCAATACGGTGGAAGAAGCACGAAATGCATTGCATTCACTGGTGGAAAAGCTTAAGGATGCTTGTCTGTTGTTAGACGGTTATGATAATACATCTGTCAGAATGCATGACCTTGTACGAGATGTTGCTATCTCGATTGCATTTAGAGATAAACACATATTATCAGCAGCTTATGGAGATGAGTTGAAAGAATGGCCAGATGAGGGTTTCTTAAAAAATTGCAGTATGATCTCTTTCCCTTGTTGCAATATCCCTACACTTCCTGAAGCTCTGAAATGTGGAGAACTAAAAATGTTCTTTTTGTGGAGTAATGATGACTCGTTTGAAATTCCGGAGAGATTTTTTGAAGAGGTGAAAGAACTTAAGGTGTTGGATTTAACCAATCTGCGGATTCCATCACTACCTCCATCTCTTCAGTTCCTAACAAGTCTTCAAACGTTATGTTTAGATCTATGCGTGCTGGGAGACATAGCTCTACTCGGACAGTTAAGGAACTTAGAGATTCTTAGCCTTTTGGAATCTCAAGTTAAACAGCTGCCAAAAGAAATAGGGCAGTTGAGTCGTCTACGATTGCTGGACTTGAGCGGTTGCTCTGAAATTGAAGTGATTTCACCCGGTGTTATATCTAGCCTGGAAAGACTAGAAGACTTGAGAATGGGAAACAGCTTTAACCAATGGGAGGAGGAAGGAGTCAATGTTGAAAGAAGTAATGCTAGCCTTTCGGAGCTGAAGCACTTGTCTCGGCTAAGCTCATTAGACATACACATTCCAGATGCTAACATTCTTCCAGAAAACCTGTTCTCCGACAAGCTGGAAAGATACCACATATTGGTCGGTGATGCATGGAAATGGCATGGCGTGGATGAAACCTTCAACACTCTAAAACTCAAGCTTACTGCCAGCAATCAGTTGGACGGAGGTTTGAAAATGCTACTCAAGAGATCTGAAGATTTGTACTTCGACGTATTGGAGGGTGTTAATAATATTGTCTGTCATTTAGACAGTGAGGGTTTATTTCAGCAACTGAAACATCTCCACGTTCAAAACAACGCTGAAACTACATATATTATTAACTCGGTCAACTGGAGTTATTCTCATAATGCTTTCCCCATCTTGGAGTCGCTTTTTCTTGACAACCTTGTTAGTCTGGAGAGTGTTTGTTGTGGCCAACTCACAGCGGAGAGTTTCCGACAGTTAAGAATCATAAAAGTGGAAAGTTGTCACAAGCTGAGGAATCTCTTTTCATTTTCAGTCGCAAGATGCTTTTTGCATCTTCAAGAGATCGAAGTGGAGAACTGCGAAACCATGACAGAGATTGTTGCGGAAGAAAGGGAAGATAATTTCAGTGATGAAGCAGTTGATCCCCTTGAGTTCTTTCAGTTACGATCTTTGACATTTCGGTGTCTACCCAATCTTATTGGTTTCTCCTCCAAAGGCAGCAAGCCTGTTGTTACTACCGGGTTGGACGAACAATTAACAAATGGAGAGTTCAACATAATCATTCTGGAGAATGAGATTGGAAGGCCCGTGCAACAGTTCATGAATGGTCAGGTATGTTCGTTAGTTTCAATTTTATAGAGCGGTTGTCATAGCATTGCATTGCGTCTTTCTTCGTCTCTTAAAGAAATATTTGTCGTGATCTGCAGGTTGTGTTCCCAAGCTTAACAAGCTTGATCGTGGATCAATGCGATGGTTTAAGATTCATGTTTTCATCTTCCATGGCTAGAAGTCTAGAGCAACTCAAATATCTTCAGATATCTCGGTGTCATCTCATGGAAGAGATAGTATCAACACATGAATCCGGTGAAGCAAATGCAGATAACATGTTTTGTAAGTTAGAACATCTGCACCTAGAAGATCTTCCAAACCTTGCCAGATTTTGTGCAGGAAGTTGCATTGAATTTCCGTCCTTGGAGAGATTAGACCTACGGTACTGTCCGAAATTGGGGGCATTCATCTCGAATAAGATGAGTAAGGAGATCACAATCTCTAAAGAAATTGAAGGGAAAGGCTCAAAGGATAATCTCCAAACTGATAAACCTTCCTTTTTGACGAAAGGTGAAGCGTACCTCTGTTTCTCTTTATATCATCATTTCAATATTTTCGTATTTGTCTTCGATAGAAATGGTTTCTGATCAAGCCAATGCGATGAATATATATGCAGGTCGGATAATCTAGCTTGCACAGATCATTCGTCTTTCGGCCTAACCAAGTTTCTTCGACAATACGCATTATTCAGACGAAGGTGAAACTGATAGACATGGGTGACTTGTTATCTGGTGTATAGATATATCTGCAGTATATTAGGAACGTAAATCTTGTGTAAACATCGATGATATTATGTAAGCGTTCTTATGTGTGTATTATTTATTAACGTTTCTTGCGCTCCAAGACGCTTATATTTCCTTGTAAAGAGGTTTATGTAGGAAACGTCTTGTATAAACATTGCAATAACAGTCACTGTGACAGCTGAATTGCACTTGCACTTGCACTGTCACCTCTAAATCCCAAGTTTCTTGGTTTTGACGGGAGGTTCGATTAAAAGAGTGAAGGAGAAGTAGAGAGTTGAGGAGGAAGTAGGGACGGTGAGGGAGGAGGAAACGGAAAGCAGTGAGCAGTGTTTAATATGGTGGACTCCATTGCCCCAAATTCATGGGGAAGAAGACAATGAACAGTCAATCATCTTCTTCTTTTTTATTTTTATATTTTTAAAGTTTTTAATTATAAAAAATAAAATTTGGTTTTTTATTAGAGTAAATTATAACAATGCCCCAAGACTCCCTGCGGTCTGCTCAAACCAGTTGTGGCACTCACAGACCCTGGACTCCCTGGTGAAGAGAAAAATGCCCCAAGAGCCTCTAGAAAGAACCTCTTATTTGGGACAATACCATCGTTTTCCATGGATTTCAGCAGTTTCTCTAGAAACTCCTTCATGTTGGCCTAGGTGTAAGCCTTGTATAAAAGTTTATACGTTGATGCATTTGGGCGTACCCCAATACTATTTGCACGCACAAAATGCTTATCAGCTTCCATGGGCAAACCATTCATGCAGTAAACATCAAGCATCGCATTAAGCGTTGAAAACTTTCACTCCCTTCCAGATTCAGCCAACCTGTCAAATACCTCCCTAGCTTTTGAAACACAATCACATAACCCATACGTCATGACAAGACTCTCATATGTTACGAAGCTTGGCGTGTATTTCATGTCAGTCATCTTCTGCAATACATGTTCCGCTTTCTCCTTAAGCCTTGCCTTACCATAATTTATGATCATTGAATTAAACGTAGGGAGTGTTGGCTTACCTGTTCCATCTTATCGAATTGTTGCTTCTTCCCATATGAATCAATCAGCAAATTAAGGGTGATGATGTCAGGCTTACACTGATTACTTTTCATGCGAGAAAGCACAGATTCCATTTCTCTGATATTTCCATTCTTCCCATATGCATCCATTACACCATTATACGTATAGATATCAGGGGAAGCAACGCTCTCATCAAGATCCTTAAACAAAGCATTAACTTTCTCTACATTTCAAGATTGTGCAAAAGCTCTCAAAAGAATGTTGTATGTCACAACGCTGGGTTGGCACCGTTCCATTCCCTTCATCTTGTTAAAGTATCCGAGAGCTTTGTCCAAAGCCTTCGCTTCATCCTTGGAGTTAAGGTGGGCTGAGATGAGTGCATTGTAAACACAAGTATCAGGCCGGCACCCACTATTATGCATCTCAGAGAAAAGCCACATTGCCATCCGAGTTTGGCCTTTCTTTCCCATAACCGAGATCAATTTTGAATACACGCCATTATCAGCAACATACCACCGCTGTCTTTGCATCCATCTGAATACCTGAGTGTGGCTTATGTACGTGAAACTATCTTCCATCCTATCACAATTGCTGCTAGAAAATACTCACACAGGAACTGACATGTCTTACATAAAAGTAGCAGTATACCACTATCAAATGCACCGAAACGTAAAAACTAACTGTTCACATTACAAGCACATCGAACTCACACGATTTCGAAAAACCCATAAAATTCATGCCACTGCCATTATTTAAAATGTCCGACCGTGTACTCAAAATGCCTGCTCTAAAACATATACATTTCTCCTTGCATTCTATTACCCTATATAGTGTATCATGCACAATAACCATACATACCAAATTCACATCGTTTAGGAAGCTGATTTCCACACACCATTTTTAGCCTCCCACACGTCTCTCTTTGTTTCTGGTCATCGGATTGAATAAATCAAACAGAAACAATGACAACATTAAGCAGTAAGAGGAGAAAAAGGGTGTCCTTATCATTTCCCCATCGATTAATCAAGTTTTCGACTATTAATGGCGTTCACAGATCAAACCACAGCAAAAAAATCAAACAATTTAAATTTAAAAAAAAAAAAACAAAACAAAAAAGATTGAAAATTGAGCTGACCTCTAAGCACTGAAGCCATTTGTCAGCCTTCCCAAGCTATTCAAAAAGCATAAAGCAATGCTCCGTCCTCACAGTCTTAACATACTTATTTAACGTCTTCAACAACGGCTCTTTGTCACTGAAGCTCCTCATGAGCGTCCGTACCACCTCCCGGACTTCCGGGTCCTCGGTCTTTGGTCCCGAATTTCTTTTGGGTCGGGTCGAAATGCAGGACATTCGGGTCGTGGGTCGCTTCCGAAGAAGCAGATGCGGAAGCCATGGCTGGGTTAGGTTGTAATTTTGTGAGGAATGAATGGCAAATGGGAATGTGGAGGATTGGAGAGAGTTGGGTGAGACTGTTAGGGACATTGTGGGTTCTCGGCGTGGGGGAGGACAAGGTTTTAAAGGAAGAACACGGCGGAGCAACCGGCAAGTAATGGGGCGGCTTGGTTTTGAGTTGGGGGTGGGTGAGGGAGAGATGTGGTCTCAAAAAATTCTGAAGTCTCCGCCCTTTCTTTTTCATCTTTTTTTTCTTTAGTTTTCTACAATTTTTTTTTATTTTTAAAATGAATGATATTAATTAGTAATATTTTCTTTGCTTTTTTTTTTTTTGAGTACAAAGGCATATTTTATTGCCAACAAAAAACAAAATTTACATTACAAAACTTACACAGTCGAGGCCCCAAACAAATATACAAAGAAAACGTGGGCCTTCCAGACAAAACAGCATGAGCATAACCAAGAGATTAGGCCGAAATACAGAAACAATTCAAAATAAAAAGAAACCCCTAATCTTCTGCAACTATAGCCGCAACACCTCTCGTTTAGTACATACAATGGACCCCAATGAATGCCATAAATCCGACCAATCGACGCCTCATAGGTGGAAGGAAGCAAGACACCATCATCCATCAAAGAAAACCTCTCCGATTGCAGTCACCAAGTAGAAAAAAAAAAACAAAGAAGCCAGTGGGATCTCCACTTGCGACATTGCCAAGGAAGGCAGACTAAGAGAAAGTGGTGGTGCGAACATGCGAGCCAATGTGAACACCGGAGCTCTACACACCCTCTCGATGTACTACAACAAATTGCAGTTGAAAGTGATTGCAAATTGGATATGGTATGATATTGATGAACGTTAGAAAGAAAAAAACGAATTGCAAGGATGGAGAAGGTGGGTGAAGATGGAGGGATACCAGGGGTTAGATAAAAGAAAAGATTGGTTTTGAGGACCTAGGCTAGGAGGATCAACAATATGTGGGTTGGAAAGAACATATTGAAGGGAAAAGATAGCAGGGGAAAACAATAAAAGAAGGTAAGAAAGAGAACAACAGAAAGTAGAAAGAAAAGACTGCCACCAACCCTAGCCATGGCTATGTAAACACGAAAATTCTGTAACGAATGAAACGAGAACAGGTGCACAAAGTAGATTTGTATTGATTTGAATTTGTAGGTTACAATCTTTGTTTACAATTTTCCTTTGATTCAGTCTTCAAATTTGATGTAGATGTGTAGGTTGATTATTGATCCAAGGGTCGAGATGACTTGATCTCGGACAAACAATTGAACGATTGCTTCAAATTTTGAGCTTGAAAACAACATGTGGATGGTCTTTACCTCAAGGTGCGGCAAATATGATGTTGATGCGGGTTTTCGTTGATTCAAGGGTCTTGACGACTTGATCTTGAAACGAACGTCATTACAATTTTATGAGCTTGCAACAAAGTCTTGAAGGAATCAGCACAAGTGCTTGTTGATTCTTCAAGAGAGTGCTTCAGCTTTGGTGGAAAGAAAGCTTCGACTTTGGTTGTATATTCTTCGGAGAGAGCTTCGGCAGCGTTTTAGTCTTCAAAGGTTTGGCAGAGGTTCTTCTGAATGCTAAAATTTTTCGACCCTTATGCTTGTAGGAGGACCTTGTATTTATAGGCTTCTCAAGGCTTGCCTTTGGGTGGATTTGGCTTTGATTTATGTCCTAATTCTTCCATGGGAGAATATAGGGATGTTTTGTGTCTTAATTTTAGTCATCTTTACTCCCTTGGCCGAATTATAGGGTCTTTGTTGCTTATTTTGTGAGCAATCTTCAATTCTTGCTTGTTTTATGAAGATATCTTAACTTTCTTTCCGGTTTTGAGAACATTTTGAACTGTTGCTATCATTTTTAAGAGAGGTTTTCTCTCTTTGGCCGAATTCTGGGAAGTTTTAAGCTTCTTTTGCTTGATTTGTGCCACATGTCATTGATGACTTGTCCATTTGTGATGAGTCATATGCCACGTGGGGCTTTGTGATGCATCATTTGTATGCAACAAAATTTACATGTCTACAAATGCCCACACTTCAAGGTGTGTTGTAGGCATGTGCTTGCCACATGTTGGAAATGTGTTTTGAAGTCCTGCAATGTGAATGTTCTAACTCAGGGTCGTTGAGACTTAATCTTGAATTAGTTTGCTTCTTCAAGGGCCGTTGAGGCTTGGTCTTGAGTTGAGGTGATGAATTTTGTCAAAGGCCATTGAGGCGTATTTCTTGATAGAAACATTTCTTCAAGGGTTGCTGAGGTTTGGTCTTGGGTTGAAATGAAAGTTTTCTTTAAGGGCCGTAGAGGCTTGATCTTGAATGAAGTGATGAATTTCGTCAAGGGCCGTTGAGGCGTATTTCTTGAACGAAACATTTCTTCAAGGGCCATTGAGGCTTGATCTTGAATGAAATGAAATTTTTCTTCAAGTGTCGTAAAGGCTTGATCTTGAGTGAAAAATGAAATTTTCTTCAAGGGCCATAGAGGCTTGATCTTGAAAGAAATGAAATTTTTTCTTCAAGGGCCGTAGAGGCTTGATCTTGAATGAAAATTTGAAAATGGACAAATCGACACATACTTATTGTGCGTATTTGATTTTCCATAATCTTTGGCAAAATAAATTTGGTGTATTTTTTGAATTTTTTCCTTGTGGTTGTAGGAAAAAAATGTTTTTTCCTTTTTTAGGTAGGAACCTCCTTCAATTTCCTTCAAAATGTCGGAAAGCTTTGGTGATTTCCTTCAAGGTTTGGAAAGCCTTGATGATTTCCTTCAAGATTTTGGAAAGCTTTGATGATTTCCTTCAAAGTTTTGGAAAGCCTTGATGATTTCCTTCAAGATTTTGGAAATCCTTGATGTTTTCCTTCAAGGTTTTGGAAAGCTTTGATGATTTCCTTCAAGGTTTTGGAAAGCTTTAATGCTTGTCCTTGGGTAAGTAGGATGTGCATTTTTTTCTTTCCTCTTTTCTTTTTTTTTTTCGGCCAAGGGGGTATTTTCCCTCTTAGTTTGTGAAACTTGAAGATTTTTCCTTGCTTTGGAGGGATTCCCTTTTGTATTTTGGCACGGAAAGGTACTTTCCTTTGTTATTTTGGAAATTTTAAAGCCCTTTCCTTATTTTATTGTTTTTCATTTCCTTTTCTTTTCTTTGCTGATTTTTGGTGCCAAAACAACATGCTTTTGTTTTGGGAAACTTTGAAGATTTGTCCTTGGTTTGGGAAACATGTCATTTGATTTGCACGCCAAGTTTGAGGTTGATATCTCTTTTGGAAAATTCTAAAAAAAAATATGGGAAAAGTAGCTTTATCTCTTATGTTTTCAGGCATATATCAGACACCACTAGGAAAAATCAGGAAAGCCTTCAACTCGTCATTTTCCTACAGCTGTGCAGTTCTTACAGGAAAACAACTTCTGCGGGATTAACTTTGAAAATTGGAATGTTTGGCTTTTGGGAAAATTATGAAATTTTAATACAACAATCATCAGCCTCTTAGCTTCCTTCTCTGGGCTTACATCAAAATTCCTCTGGAAAGTCGAATTATCACTAAAAACGTCCTACTTGCGCAGATTGGCTGAAACTTGCCATTTTTTGCTTGGAATTTGCTTCGTTCTTTCGGTTGGAAGGTGCAATGTGCTTCCTTGTTTTGATTTTCCTTTTGCTATTTAGGTATGTATTCCTTTATAGCATTAAGAAGCAATTGACCCCTATTTATAGGACAATTGGGTGTGTATTTTTTTTTCACAATTCACATCATTGCCATGTGCTTGCTTCTGTGCTTTGCTGCTTGCTTTCCATGGGTTTTTCTTGCTTGGAGCTTGCTGCAGTGCGTCACTTTTATAGTGTGGTGTTGTACAAAAGATTGCAACGAGTATGCGCTGTGTAGTGCCTTTTGGTCATAGTTTTCCCTTAGTGGTCACGTTGCCGTGCAGTGCAAGAAACTGCTTGCGTAATCGCTGTGGGGTTACGTAGCATTTTGGTTTTCTTTGCTACTGTAACGTGCGTTGAAAGACTATTTTGTAGCTGCCTTCTTTATCGTGCAGTGCAAGAAACTGCTTACGTAATCGTTACGGGTTTACGTAGTGTGATTGTGTAGCATTTTGGTTTTCTTTGCTACTGTAGAGCGTGTTAAAGGACCGTCTTGTAGTTGGCCTATTTGTCATGCAGTGCAAGAAACTATTTACGTAATAGCTGCGAGTTTGCGTAGCATTTTGGCTTTCTTTGCTACTGTAACGTGCGTTGAAGGTCCATCTTGTAGCTGCCCTCTTTATCGTGCTCTTCAAGCTTTTGTGGCTGATTTCTTTTTGTTGTTATGACTTTGTCATCGTCATCCTTCAATGCTTATGAGGTTTGTCTTGCATGTCTTTTGCTTTAGCGAAGCAATTTTTTCTTCTTTGTTTTTTTCTTGCCATCCCACCTTTGTGTTGATGTTGTTTTGTTTGTTTTGTTGCAGCCATGGTATTTCAAGTGCTTTAAGAGCAATACCATCACTATTCTTGCGAAGGAAAGCGATCCGCAAGATAGGGGAACGACATTGAAACTTTATGCGCTGTTGATCAGCCCTAAGGTGCTTGTTCTTCCTGCAAAAGATAACTCGATGCACATCAAGTTATGGTCTTCTGAAGTGTCTTGACAGGTGACGGATTTTTGTTGTCCAAATACAAAGAAGAAGGCATGTACATCGAGGATTCTTGT